ATATATATGCATTTTAATTGCTTCAGGTACTATTGACAAGATTATGCTACTATGTTGCCTCCTAAATACTGCACATATTAGACTATAAACAAATCCAAATTTGTTCAATTAAAAGGGTTATTTTGAATGATAACTATCGTTGAGAACCAATTTTCTCAGAATGCACATTATGGATTTTTTTTCTTCCAAAATAATGGCTAAGAGATAGGACTGGTATGAAAACCAGATGTATTTTTCTAAATTCTATCCAAATTAGTATCACATAATTCAACACCATGCCTTACAAGCAAATCTATACCTGACTTTCTAATGATTATTTACACAAACAGAAGACATTGTGTCACCATACCTGTAAGAGGGCCAACATTCCAGGCAATATTATTACACCAGCCAATAGCCTGAACCCAGTGTACAGTCCCAGCATTTATCCACACCAAATCTCCAGGTCTCTGAATAAATCTATAAACTGGGACATTTGCTTCGTACAGATCTTCCAGGTTAGGCCACCAAGAGCCCATTAGAAAATTCATGTTGTTTCTGTATCAGGAAAAACTGGGCTTAGACATAGTGCACACAAATACTTTATGCACAAAAGATTATGTCAATCAAAACATTTATATAATTCCCCAAATGATCTACATATCATTAACATATAATCCTAATATGTATATATGCTCAGACAGTAGGTTTTCACTTAACTATTGGCTAGGTTTGCCAGGTTCCCTCCTGGCCACTGGCAGGGGATGGGGAAGTAGGGTTTCCTGATCCAGGTTGGGAAACTCCTGGAGATGTGTGGATGGAGCCTGGTAGGGACAGGGACCTCAGTGGGGTACAATACCATTGAGTCCACTCTCCAAAGCATTCATTTTCTCCAGGGGAACTGATCTCTGTAGTCTGGAGATGAGCTGTAATTTCAGGAGATCCCCAGGTCCCACCTGGAGGCTGGCATCCCTGCTACTGTCCTCAATCTAAAGTAAACTGCTACATTTTAATGTTTGCACTGGATACTAAATGAGGGGTATTTATTAGGCTAAATAACATATTTAAAAATATGTACACAACTAGCTCCACTGACAGTTTCAGTAACAGCACCATCAGTTGTGTCAATGGGGAAATGGTCTCTAAGACATGTGTCCAAGATCTCTACTTACACATGAAAAACAGACTGCTACACAAAAGAGAAACATCTAGCACAACTAGCAGTACCTTCCTACATCTAGTACTACTTTAGAGGTACAGATAGATTACACAATAACTGAAAGGATTATATACAATGATGCAAAATACAGAACGTACCTTTCACAGAAGTCATTCATTACGCCCCAATAGTTTTCTGGAACAACAAACCATTCACAATCCCCTGGACCTATATTTATATTGACTGAGCAGAAGTTATTATTTTCTTGATGACCTGAAAGTAGCAAAAACAAACAAACCCTAGTTATAATTTATAGTACTACTCTGGCTTAACATATAAATAGTAATTACAGCAATTCACAGCTTAACTAGAATTTACTATATTTATACCAGGAGTTTAAACAATTAATTTCCATTTCAAAAACTCTGATTTATATCATGAGCCAACTGCAATTTTTACCTTGAGCAAATTATTTTATTTTCTTTAAAACATTTTTATGCCACCTTTATGCTCAGTTAAGTGTTGCACCTGAAGTAAGGCTTCTAAAGATAACTATAATGATTGCGTAGGTTCAAATGGGAGCAGGCAGTAGGGATGGGCACAAACCTGCCCATGACCCTAAGTTCGCTACTAAAAATTGCCCGGGTTGTGGTTCGTGAACTGAGGTTTGTGTGATCTTGCCCCCATGACCCTCCATGTGGTTTTCGGAGGTTCATGAGTCTCATGGTGGGAAGCAAGGGGCAGGAGCAAGAGGGATCGCTGAAATGTCTTGCATTTCATTCATTTCATTCCAGCCCAACAGCTTACAGGTACACCAGCCATGCCCAACCCTAGCAGGCAGTCCTTAAGTTTTGCGTGTTCCAAGTCACACAGATTTTTTCAAGGTTTCTATCAACACCTTGAATTGGGCCTGGAAGCAAACTGGGTGTCAGTGTAGGTGGATCACAACTGGAGTGCTTTGGTCTCTGTAACCCAGTCCAGTCCATTTTATGGCTGCAACATTCTATGCCAACTGTAGCTTCCAGACACACTTCATGGGCAGCCCCGCGTACTGCAGTAGATTAATCTATATGTACTAAGGACATGGCATGTGAAAATAAAAAAATAAACAGTGTTTTTAGTTAAACAAATCATTTTTCTTAAATATGAGCCAAGAGATTTTGAAACAGGTATAATGCTGTGTTAACATATAAATTGGGCACAGACGTTTGTATCCATTTACTCTCTGAAGTTGTCACAACAATTGAAATAATCAGGGTCAACTCTCTGATCTGAAAATACCTTAAGGCACACACCTAGCAGCAAGTCCATTTAATTTTAAATGTGTCCTGTGGTATTTTGCCCATGTAGCCCCCTGACCTCCAGCATTCATGGGAGAGGTTGTCAAAAGGGTTTCTGAGGGAAGGGGAAAGCAGAACAGATGCTCTTCAAAGCAAGGTTCATAAGATCCAACCTTATACATGTAATTCTTTTACGCTCCAATTCTAAGAACATTTGCTTGAAAGATTCTGCTGTTTGCTCTCCCTCTTCCTCTCAGCCTTTCATTTCATCCTCCTGGGTGAGTCAGGTTAGGCAGAGGGCACATGGACCACACTGAGGAAGATTTAGCACATTTACCAGACCTGTGATAAGACTGGTGATGGCATTGTACTTTCATATGTGCTGGGGATACAGGCCATATCACCTACTATAGGTGATTTTGTGTGCTAGCAAACTGTTTTAATATATTGGTTCTTGGGATGGAGAAGTTACCCTCTGTTGTTAAGTGTGCCAACAATAAAATAGGTTCTGGGGTTGAATCCTGGCACATATATAGCCCCCCCCCCCCGATCTCTGTTAAGAAGGCCTCTATAAGCAAACCAAATTGTGGAATGGACATAATTAGACACAGATAAAAAATGAATATTAACACCTATCTCAGTGTTGCTCATACAGATGCATCAACTGATCTGTACAAAGCAGCCTGCCAATAATGAATATATATCAATTTTATTTTATTTACTTCATTTATAGTCTGCCTTTCTCAGTGAATCTCAAGGGGGATTGCAAAATATAAAAATCAGTTCAAACAACAAAGACATCCAATAAACTATGTAACAGGACCAGGGTATCATGGATGAACTGCCTGCGCCTTGGTGCTCCTCAGCTATGAAATAGGGCAAATGTGTTCTATGATGCCGAAGATGTGGTATAAATGCTTAATTTCCTTATGATATTATGCATGTATGCATTTGACTTCTTTTATAGTGATTCAGATCACCTGCTTTTGTCACTTACTCAATATTCTGTATACACTTTATATTTTCCTGAATTCTGTTGTCCTCACACATTGATTCACAATTTTATTTGATTTATACCCCGCCCTTCCTGACAAGGCAGGCTCAGGGTGGCAGGGCCACAGCCGTCATAAAACAAATAAAACAATAAAAAAAATTCAAACAATTTAAAATCATCAAACCATTTAAAGGTACAACAAATATAGGATGGCAAAAACTGTCCTATTGACCACCATAAGGGAAATCAGCAGCTGGTGTCTGGCTCCATATGGCTTAGTTCTTTAATATGGGCACAGATGTTTAGCAGGCGGCCAAGAGTAGATTGTAGGGCAGTTACTCGGCTTGATGGTAGGCTGTTTAATGTGGCATCTCACTCAAATGCTTGGCGGAAGAGCTACGTCTTGCAGGCCCTGCAGAAGTCCTCAGGGAGCTCATTCCACCAAAGTGGAGTCGCCACAGAGAAGGCCCTAGCCCTAGTTGTGGCCAGCCTGGCATCTTTCATGCCAGGGAGAACAAGTAGGTTCTGTGAACCTCACCGCAGTACTCTCTGGGGAACATATGGGGAAAGGCGGTCCCTCAGGTATGCAGGCCCCTGGCCATATAGGACTTTATGGGAAGGAGCAGCACCTTGAAGTGAACCCAGTATGCTATAGGTAGCCAGTGCAGTGCTTTTAGCACAGGCTGAATGTGCTCTCTAAGAGGGAAACCCAATAGCAGCCTGGTTGCCACATTCTGCACTAGCAGTGGCTTCCAGATTTGGGTCAAGGGCAGCCCCATGTAGAGAGCATTGAAGTAGTCTAGTCTCGAGGTGACCATTGCATGGATTACTGTTGCCAGGTCATTGCATTCAAAGAAGGGAACCAGCTGCCTAATCAGCCAAAGATTGTAAAAGGCTGACTTGGCAGTGGCTGCTACCTGGGCCTCCATTGTTAAGGAGGCATCCAAGAGCACTCCCAAACTCCTAATGTCTGACGCTGGCACCAGTAGCACCCCATCAAAGGTCAGGAGTGGGATCCCTAACCCCGGACCGCTCAAACTCAGACACCAGACCTCCATCTTCATTGGATTCAATTTCAACTGGCTCAGCCTAAGCCACCCAGCTACAGCTTGTAATGCTAGGTCCAGATCTTCAGGTTTTCAGTTAGAGTGGCTACCCAACAACAGATAGAGCTGGGTGTCATCTGCGTACTGGTGACATCCCAGCCCATGCCTCAGGGCAATCTGGGCAAGGGGGCACATATCGATGTTGAATAACATCGGGGAGAGAACAGCCCCTTGTGGCACTCCACAAACCAGCGGGTGTCTTCGGGACAGCTGTACCCCTAACACCTTTGTCCCTGACCTTGTAGAAAAGAGGACAGCCACTGCAAAGCAGACCCCTGAATTGCAGTGTCGGTGAGGCGGTGGATCAGTAATTGGTAGGCGACTCTGTCGAACGCCACCGACAGGTCTAACAACAGTAGATCACCATCCTAGGCTCCCAGACCTTACATGTCTTCATCTGTGAAATTTTGGAGGGAATGGCACGTATATTTATTTTTATTTATTTATTTATTTTATTTTTAGATTTATATCCTGCCCTCCCCAAAGGCTCAGGGCGGCCAACAACGAGGCACAAGTGCCAGAATTAAAACAGATAAAACAGTCTAAAACAGTAAAACAATATATGGCTACCCAACAACAGATAGAGCTGGGTGTCATCTGCGTACTGGTGACATCCCAGCCCATGCCTCAGGGCAATCTGGGCAAGGGGGCACATATCGATGTTGAATAACATCGGGGAGAGAACAGCCCCTTGTGGCACTCCACAAACCAGCGGGTGTCTTCGGGACAGCTGTACCCCTAACACCTTTGTCCCTGACCTTGTAGAAAAGAGGACAGCCACTGCAAAGCAGACCCCTGAATTGCAGTGTCGGTGAGGCGGTGGATCAGTAATTGGTAGGCGACTCTGTCGAACGCCACCGACAGGTCTAACAACAGTAGATCACCATCCTAGGCTCCCAGACCTTACATGTCTTCATCTGTGAAATTTTGGAGGGAATGGCACGTATATTTATTTTTATTTATTTATTTATTTTATTTTTAGATTTATATCCTGCCCTCCCCAAAGGCTCAGGGCGGCCAACAACGAGGCACAAGTGCCAGAATTAAAACAGATAAAACAGTCTAAAACAGTAAAACAATATAATAAAACAAAGTGTCAGTGCAAGATGGGGTAGATCTTAGTCGAATGGCATTGGTCCCGCAACTTGTCATCCCCTCTCCTTCCAGGGTCACCTCGCATCCAGATGGAACCACATATTGGTGGTAGTGGTGTGATGCTGCATACATATCGGTGGTGGAATTATAGTGGCGGCGGCTCCTACTCGCCGCAGGGCCCAGATCTCCTCCGGGAGCTCCTTCCACCAGGTAGGAGCCGCCACCGAGAATGCCCTGGCTCTAGTAACAGCAAATTTAACATCCCTGGGGCCTGGAATTTCCAGGAGATATTGACTCCCCGACCGTAGTGCCCTTGGGGGAACATATGGGGAAAGGCGGTCCCTTAGGTAAGCCGGACCCTGGCCATACAGGGCTTTAAAGGTAAGAACCAGCACTCTGAAGCGGATCCGGTACGCTATTGGTAGCCAGTGCAGCGCTTTCAGCACAGGCTGAATGTGATCCCTCCTAGAGAGACCCATCAACAGCCTGGCTGCGGGTCCGGCGGAACGGCGCGGCGACGGGCTGGGCTCGGATCGCTCCGGGTCGCCCGACTCTATTTCGCGTCTTTTGGGGCCTCCCGGAGCCTAGGAGAGCCCTGACAGCTCTCTTGGAGGGAGAGCTGGGGCAGGGTTTTTTTTGTGGCGGCCCTTCCCGTGATTGGCGACGCGGGGAGGTGTCCGCTGCGTACCCCGAAGCAGACGCGGACTACGAGCGAGAACATGGCTGCCATGTTCTCCGCAGCTGCAGCCACCCGTTTCTTTTAACCTAACTTAAAATGGTGTGGGACGACAGCAACGA